CTACACAGACAATCCACTTACACAACTGAGCAAATGAACAAACATAACTAACAAAAAAGCTATTATCTAACCTAGTTAGGCAGTTTAAAAAACACATCTGAAGTTGTATTTATAACTCATTCACAAGAGCAGTCATCTTGAAACACCCCCCCCCCCCCAATGCCAATTAAAGGTTGGCTAGATATGGAAACTAAAATCTTACATCAAAACCTAAATTTGATTAATTGACAACATAAAATAAGGCAGCTAATTTAGGGCGATTAAACAGCTGTTTGTGAAAGTCTACCTTACATAGAACATTACTAAAATACTGAATACCATACCATTTTATTTATAGAGCACTTAAAACAGCGACAAGGCCAACCAAAGTGCTGTACAGACAGAACAACAGGCAACACACAAAGCAAAATACAAAATGAGGTAAATCAGAATATAGACATAAAACCGATGGAGATAATAAATGTGACGACTAACCAGTGTGGAGCATACAGGTTCAAAAATACAGATCAGCTGGTGTTGAAAGCTACTGAATAGTAGTGGGTTTTTAAACAGGACTTGAAGCTTATTTGATTAATTCCATCTGTATTTTTTAGGCTCTTTAGTATCATTCTTGAACAAAACTAAGCCAAATTAAAGGCCCAGCCTTTCTTGAAGGAATGCACATCAACTGCCATTTTATGAACAGTTATAGCACTTTTGATCAAACTGGGTAAATTTACCTTTTGAAAAATATCATGATTTATGGTGTGATGTTGCAGAATGAGTCAGCATGTGTCTACGACCACAATAAAGTTAACTCAGTATCTGTAAACTTGACTGTTATAGCAACAATCTTTTGTGTTGGACGCCAATGATTACTTTCTGGGTGTTTCACTTAAGTCTGTCCAGTGGTTTATGTAATATTTTCTTAACACAACATTCAGAAGAACACACTCACGCGCAAAGACCCATCAAAAACACTGTTTGCCTATCAGCAGAAGGCAAGCATGACCGATATATTGATAGGGTGAATATTTTAGGCCGATATAGACGTTTCAGGACGTATCTGTTTTGGTGATAATTGTCCCATTATGTGCCGATATGAGCACTTCTAATTTGCACTCCGAAAATGCTGGAACCAGCTGTAAATGAACAATGTAATGTGCAGAGTACGGAGGAGAGAGTGGTGGTGCAGAGGTTAGAGAAGGCGAGCCTGTGATGGGAAGGTCGCCGGTTTAACTTCCCAGACCGACAACATTAAAATGTAGGTGGGAAAAGTGAAACACCCACACCTGCCTCCACCCTCATTTGCGCCACTCTGGACCCATGAGCAAGGCTCTTAACCCCTAACATTTGCTCCCCTGGGTGCTCTAGATTGCAGCGCTCAGTGTGGTCTGTGGTTGTGTCAGGAAGGGCATCCTGCGTAAAAGCAATTGCCGGATATTCATGCGAGTTAGTTCACTGTGGCGACTCCTGAGGAAAGGAGTAGTCAAAATAAAAAATAAAAATAAAAAATGCCTGCAGAGGTGCATGCAGACTACTTTATTAGACAGAAATAGATCCTGTTTAACTCTGAATGCTAGGAAACACCTTGTAACTGCTACTTTCCTTCCCTCCATCGACTACGGTGACATTATTTACATGAACGCACCTACAAGCACCCTACAGATGATGGATGCTGTCTTATCACGATGCACTAAGATTCATAACTGGCTGTAATGACCATACCCATCATCGCACCCTGCATCACTGGTTAACTGGTCATCATTAACCTCACGCAGACTCTCCCACTGGTACATTTTCATCTTTAAATCATGTATTGGTCTGTTGCCTTCATACATCTCCTACTACATGTCATTACGTGAGTGCAGCTACAGCGTGCGCTCTCAGGACATTATTACTGTCTACTGTTGTCTTTGTTGTCTGCTGTTGTCATTACTCTTTGTTAAAATCAGGTCTCTCTTGCAAATTAATTTCAGAAGCTCAATGGAACTAATCTTTAAATAAAGGTTGAATGAATGAACGTTCAAGTCATGGCCGTTCACTTAAGTTTTACTTCGACAATCATCACAGCTGAAGCAGGGAGTAATGCTGTTTAGCGTATTTTGCTGAACAGAGCATGGTAAGTTTAGTAAATTCTCTTTAAACCTCCAACCTGCTTGTCATTAGCTGTGTACCTCTCAAATTAGCAAGCTAAAGTTTAGATAACGTAGCATAGATTATTGCCTTGTAAACCTATATCCAGAACAAAAATCTAACGTAACAGAAAATATATATCAGTCTTATTAAAGTTATCTTTGTCGTCCTCAATGAAATGTTGTCTGACTTTTCTGCAAAGAAAAGTAAAACTGCTGCAGTCAGTATTAATTAGGCTTCAGTTTAAACAATGAACAGGGAAGGACATTTCTTTGTTTAATTTCTAGTTTTGCAACACACTTGATAACTTTATGTTGAATAGTGGAGAATAAAACGTGAACGCACGTTAGGAATACTGTTTTTATGACAAGTGCACCACTTGTACACCTAATGTGGGACTAAGCGTGGATCTGATTAATTTAACTTCATGGTTGCTAACAGTCGCACAAAATAAACAAGTCCTCCTCCACGCTTACTTAGATTCCTGGGGTGGACAAAGCTAAAAGACTTTCAGCCATTACTAAGACCATCCTATGTTGAGAAAAGTTTTTTTGGTCTAATCTTGAAAATTATGTGTAAACTTACACAATATTAAAAAAGTTCATGTTCAGAGGACGTGCTGGGACTGACTCAAAGCTACTACCAAATCAAATCTTAGCTCAGTATCTGTAAAACATGCTGAAGTTTAGCCATTTTGGTTTGGGCTAAGACCAATTAGCTGGTGTGGCCATCTTGAAATCTTGAATTACCTTCTGAGTGTTAAAAATGTGTCCAGTGTTTCATGGGAAATTTTGCTGAAAGTCAAACAGACATAGACACATCCAAACACAATGTTTGTTGTCTTTTTGCCTTTTAGCAGTAAGTAATAATCACGACTGCTCAATAAAGCTTTTCTGCTGTAACTGATTTTAGATCATTAGTGACACACTTAATCCAGTTTGTTGATTTTATTAAAAATCTCAAGTAAAAAAAAAAATTAAAACCTATATATTTAATTTATAAAATAAATACCTCCTGGTTTTTGTAACTTTTTAGGTTTATGTTCATGTTATAAGTTGCTGCAAAATGTACAAGAAAAACTATACAGTATGTTTTTAAAATACATTTTAAGTAATTTGAAATGGCTACTATCCTTAATAATGAATTTACTGTAAACATTTCATTTTACTAAACAAATGGATTTCAGCTGATTTCAATAGACATTTTTGGTCACTGATTTGCATGTTTGTGTTTTTGTGCTGTTTGAGGTATAGGTCTAAAACTAAGGATTTGTTTGTGACGTCGGGACATCTGGATCTTACAGATCACAGTGTAAAAACTGAATCAAGATCAATTTCACAGTCATAATGTGTTTTTAGCAGTGATAGGGGCTATTGCAGCTAAAGTAAAATTGTGTTGTGCATGAACCTTTGAGCTAATTTTTCAAAGAGCAAAAGTCATCTTTTTTGTAAAAGGAAAGCTAAACTGGTAGGTCATCACCACTTTGTCTTCTGATCTGTGCTTCCCTCACATAAACAACACCAACAACACAAACTCTCCTGTATACAAAGGTAAATGAGTTCAGACTGAAAAAGAATAGTTTTCTTACCTTTACACACCATTCGACAGGTTATGAACAGAATACCAAAGCAAGTGTGTGATGGGGACGAGAACACAGTAGGAAGAGAGTAGATGCGGCATTGCAAAGAAAACTCAATGAAAGAGGGATAAAGAAAAGGACAAAACTTAGGGAAGTTTAAGGCAAGAAGGTTGAATACTAGAGGGGAAGATAAAATAATGAGGAAGCAGTCCATGAAAAGATAAATGAATATAGAAATTAAAAGGGGAAGTGAAGTGAGGCAGGAGCTTTTGACGAGGTCAACAAAGTAACAAAAAAATTAGCAGGAGGAAAGATGCCATTAAACACTAAACATCAGACTGCCATGCACCAGCAAACAACAAATGCCTGCTTGTAGTCTTTTGTGTGTGTAATAGTCATACAGTTCAGTGTAAGTGTTGAGTCATCCCTTACTTCATTCTATTTTTCCTTTAAGGGTCAGACTTTCTTTTAATCCGTTTAAAGGTTTACAAAAAACATCTGATGGATTGCTTGAGGTTTATTAGCATGTGTTCTTTAAATGTTTGAAGCTTCTCCACTCATTTCTCACGCCTGAACATTTTTATATTAGGACTGGACATTTTTGTTGTTGTTGTTTAGCTTCTTCTCTCTGAGCTCTGAAGCTTTCTCAAAGGACACACCTACAAATTGGAACGTACAGCACTTTGTCACAAAAGTGCTTAATTTGTTCCCAGTTATTTTGTTGCATTTACAGAAAATCACACAAATAAATCGTTTTTTCTAGTTTCGATTTTGCACTAACATAGCATTAGCTAACTAAGAGCAATTAGCTTTAAAATGAAGACTATCATGGACTTAATGTGCAATGTGACTTTAAAAGCACTTGGGAAATTTGGTAAAAGGAAAGCAAAAGAAATGGCCACCTAAAACAAAATCTCAAAGCAAAAATTTAAGTCATTACAAATAAGAACTCTAACTATTTTAAACTGTTTTTTTACCAAGTTGTTTACTCTGTGATTTAGTGATTTATATGTAAACATTAATTGACTGAGAAAAATGATAAAGATGAATACCAGTAAATTAAAATAAAAGAATTACACTAAAAATTGTCAGATAGAATGACTGAAGTCACATTGATTGTTGTGAGAAAGCACAAGGACCTTTGTAGAAGACAATTTCAAAAATGTAAAAAGAAAGTGAAATAAAAAAAAAGTCTGGTTTCTTGAAAACAAAATATATAAAAAACTGAGAAATGATTTTGGATTTTTGCACAGATGAGGCCTCGCTGAGCAGATCTAAAGCAACACAATGAATATGTAACTTGTACCTCAGCCCTGGGGGAGGAGAAAATGTCCATGTTTGGTTTGACAGTTTTCCTAGAAGACAAAAAAATCATATAAGTGAACAAAGTTGGCAGATGTGATCAATCTAAACCAACTCCAGTTGTTTATCCATTGAAATGTTTGAGCAACTGATGAGCAGCTTATAACAACACTGAATAAAAACGTTGCATGCTCCTTCTTCCACCCAATTTTATTTAAACAATTCACTAAGTATAAAGTTCACATGTAGTTGAAATTTATTTTAACTCTAAAAGTTAAAAGAAGAAATCCTATGCTTTGTTGGCTCTTTTTATATATTTATCTTTTGTTTAAACAGGTTAAAATGGCCTTAAACACAAAAATAAACTAACAATTAATACTGGTACACAAATAGAACCATATTTCAATTTAATTCAGTTTATTTATATAGCACCAGGTCACAACAGAAGTTGTCTCAAGGCCTCCCCTACACTGTACACTGGGTAAGAGAGCTGATGTATCATATGCATTTGGATAAAATAAGATATACCCTGAAGGGTTCTGTAAAAAAGATTTTGGGAATAAATTAAGTCCTACACGGCACCTCATATAGGACACTTGCCGGCCTTTTATATACAGTAGTATGTGGAAAGTATGTCGATGCCTGGTTAATTTGTCTGTGTATGTTTGACTGATCCAGTGTGGGAGGGAAGGAGTGGTGGGGTTGTTCTATGTTCTTTGTTGTTGTATGTTCAAAAATCTATAAAAACACTTTGTTTTTTAAAAAAAAGATGTTGTCTCAGCGCACTGAACAGAAACATTCATACAGCATATAAATAAAATACAAAAGTAGAAGCATAGACTACTCAAACAAGTAAATAAAGAACTTGCCAACAAGAAGAAAGAAGTATCAACATATTTAATCTTACCCCACATCTAGTCTATTTTTAGTCTAGAGTGCAATTTAAACATTGTTAAACACAACAAAGAACATGACTTCATATTTACAGTATACCACATTACCATGCAAACACAGTTTATTATTTAATGAAAATAAAAATCGATGAATCAGAATTTTGGTTACAAAAACTATTGTACCCAAATAAAGCAAATATTTTATGGCAACAAAAAATAGTCAAAACTGGTTAAAAGAGCTATTCAGATTTGCTAAGCCTGAATATACAGTAGCTTAAAGTAAACGTTGTATTTATCTTAAACAGTGTTTCTGATCTAATGACTTTATAAGAAACACTATTTTTGACAACGAATGCCTAAGACTGTAAAAGATTCACATATCGTATGCAGCAATGCCCAGAAAGAGGAAATACTATTTTTTTTAGATCTTATATTCAAAGTGTAATAATGCTCAGAGAGACAAAGGCAGGTTGATGAAACAACAGGGGAAGTTGTTCAATCTTTACATAATTTCCTGTTGGGATGGTCTCCCTTTAACACATCTCCTGACCACAAGAAAATGAGCCAATCAGAAGCCTGACAAACCGTTACGGACAAGGAAGTAGAGTGTAAAAAAAGGTAACAAGTCAAAAGAGCTTACTTTAATTTGTAAATGTATGTAGACTTGTTTTCATTGATTACTTAGTTCTATCTAGCCCTGGTGGGATGGAGATATGTGAGGATACAGCCACTGAGGCAGCACAGATGGGACATCAGCACTCAGGAAAGTCTAGTTTGACACAAAGTACAGCAGATAAGCTGCTCAACAACAACCCCTGTAGTAGAAGGAAACTGCTCTGAATTCTAGCTTCTGCCTCCACTTGTCAATAACACAGCACTGCTATAGATTTAGAAATATGCCTCGTTAGTTTGCTGTAAAGACTTTCCTAAACAAGCATATTTTTACATACTAATATACTTTTTATATATATATATTTTTTTTTTAAAAAGCGTGATTTTTTTTTTTTTTTTTAGCAATTTACACATTGCTCAGTTTTAATAATGTATATAAAACTAAGACTTTCAATGTAAATTCGTAATTTTTCTTTAACAGTTCACCCATGTGTACTCCAGCGATACGTTGGTTTTATTTTCAGGTCATTCATCAACCTATTTATAAATAAGATTTAATGTGCTCCTCACATAAATATTATTTTTATTTATATGTACACCAACACTAACAATTGTTTTGTGTAGATGAGAAAGGTCCAATTGCAACAATGTGGAGGCAGGCAGGCAAAATGACAAAATAGATACACATAAATAAAAGAATGCATATTGCTTGCCGCGTTGCATAATGAAGTTTTATATAAAGATCTTGTGTGAGCTGTTTGCACTCAGATTATCAGTTGGAGATTACTCTCAGCTACGACCACACCAGGGTTTAGCTCAATGTCTGTACAACTGATAGATTTACAGTAGTCCCTCACTACTTCATAGTTTGACTTTCGTGGACTCGCTCTTTCACGGGTTTTCAAAGTAAGACTGGACATGACACACAATCTGACTGATGGATGAGCCGCACGATCGGCATGGAATTTTTATTTTAAATAAATTATTTAGCACCTGCTGCACCTGTGTGAAGCCCACACGTGCAGGGAGAAGCGCCCTTCTGCACCGTGTCATGATCTCCGCTCTGCAGCGGAGAAGTGGGCGTGGCCGAGAGCACAGGCAGGTGGCAGAGAGCAGCCGGAGGCAGAGCTGAGATCATGGCATGCTGTGCTCTTTTAGAGCATTTAGAAACATTGTTTAGAATATTGCAAGACTGTGGGAAAGGTTTCAAACACCTTTATATATATAGATTAGATAGATAGATAGATAGATAGATAGATAGATAGATAGATAGATAGATAG